CAATGTGGCTCGTGCGGTGGGGGGGAGAACCCCCGAAGAGGTCAAAAGGCATTACGATATTCTCGTCGAGGATATCAACTCTATCGAGACTGGTCGAGTCCCCTTCCCCAAGTACCGTACCACCACCGCCTCAAACGGTACCAAGAGATGAATTTATTTATTAATAAGGTATTTTACTATCTAGTTACATATCTTCTATTTCTAGTCATATTACCTACCTAACTTTCTTGTTTTTGCACATGCATATCCTATTTCTTTTTTTTTTTTTTTTTTTTTTTTTTTTTTTAAATTTGAATATTTGATGATCAACGTGCATTTATCTCCGTAGTGCGAAATATGCATTAATTTGGTTGGGGGAACTAATATTCCTGCGAAATTGATCGTGGATCAAATCGATCAGGAAAATTAGTGTATTTGTCGGGCCATGCTTGCTTGTGGTTACAAAGGCAAGTAGACCTTATAATGCATGCCTATGTGTATATATATTACTCATATATAACTACTATATACGCGCACTTTTTTGCCGCTCGTGTATTACACTTGAGAACATTTGTTAACGACACTGATTTCGAAACGTAGTTTCGATTATCGCCACAAAAAAAAAGGCCTTTATCGAGACGGACGACCTTCGGAAACATGACTTGTAATAATTAATAAAGCACCTTCTCCATAAATTTAAAATATATTTAAAGGTACTTGTTAGAAATGCTTTCTGTACTATATATAAAACTGTTGCATGATCTTCTCACGTGCAATTTTTATTTAATAATTTTTTGATGAATTATTTATATTCCAGCCATGCATGCAGTAACATTATCCTTCATTAGCCATACTATATGAAATATACTGATATTTTATTATTAATGTTATTTTTTATTTGTTCCCATGCAGGTCGAATAATTCGAAGAAACGAAATAAAGAGATGCATTGCGTTTATCGACATCTACGTGAAGATTAATTAATAATTATTATTATTATTATTATTAATTATGCAGCAGTAATGAATTCGAGAATCATGGTTATATATAGTGATTCTTCTTGGTTCTGGACAACTGAGATGTCCATCTAGAAATAATTATATAAATATATTAATATATAATTTAACTTTAATTTTAGTTTATGTACTGAATTTGTGAGAGGAAACGTTTGAATTCCTTGGCTTCAACCTGTATCATTATTAGTTGTTCAATGTGAAATTCAGTTGCATATTTTTCTTTCACTTGAGTCTTGAATATCTGAAAGAATTTTGCCTACATTTTTGTTTCTGCTTACAAAAAAATAAAAAATAAAAAATAAATCATTATTTAAATTTTAATGCATAAATTAAAATTGAGACTAAAGCTGGGGGAATCCGGATGAAAATTTTAAAGTTGAAACCTGATTTAAAATAAATTCAAAAGAGGGATCAAAAATTCACCACAGTGAATAAAAGTACATCATAAAACAGAAATATAATATTATCATGTAATGAAATGAACAACTTCAATTCGTGACATTTGGCACACATGTTTTCCTAATTTGGAATATTTTGGGATTGTGAGTTGTCTGCATTTAGAGTTCAATGGCATGGCCCCTAAGATTAAATATTAGCGTATATATTATATATATTATATATATTACGTATATTATTATTCTTATTTATTATAGTTATCTTGTATAATAGGTTACTTTGTGTAGTAGATTAGAGTTTCTTACATGTAACTATATATATGATTAATATACGTGAGATATATTATTCTCTCTTTTCTCCAAATCTATTTCTCATATATGGTATCAGACACTAGGTTAACCTAGCCGTCACCACCCCTTCTTCTCCATAACCGTCGCCCCGCCTTCTTCTTCATTGCCGGCGACGCTTCTTCTCCCTCCCCCGCACCTCTCAATCCTTTTCACCAACGTGGTGGATCTCACAAACCGTTTGAATACGGTGACACTTCAGCAGCCTACCGAGTCACAGTGGTTCATGGACATCGGGGCGACCTCTCATATGGCACCACACTCAGGTAATTTCAATTTTGTTTTTAATCCTGGCAGCAATTTCCCCAAACATGTCGTCGTCGGTAATGGTTCCACCCTCCCCATAGCCCACATAGGCCACAAAATTCTTCCCACCACTCCTTTTCGTCTCACAAATGTCTATGTCACACCCAATATCGTCAAACACCTTATCTTTGTTCGAAAGTTCACCCGCGATAACTCATGTTCGGTTGAATTTGACCCGTTTGGTTTTTCTGTGAAGGATCTTCGGAGTCGAGTCGAGATTTTCAGGTGCAATAGCTCTGGTGACCTATATCCATTTGGCGTCCCTCCCCCCACATCACCTCCCGCTGCTTTTGTCACTGTCGCAACACCTTCGTCTCGCACTCTTTGGCATCGGCGTATAGGCAATCCCGGCAAACACGTCATGTCCCGTTTGTTTTCTAGCACTTTT